AGATGCTGCAGAAGATGCAGAAGTAGAGGTACTTTTGTCATTTGTGTGCCCAGATAAAGTGCCTCTTTACAGTTTGCATAAGGACTTTCCAGAGTGTTAGCCACAGGCATGTGCCATCTGTGAAGTTATTTTTTGAACCCCCGGTTTAAGACTCACCTTGAGTCATGGAGAGAGCTAAAAATGGCTCTTCCACACTAACTTCTAGTGTGAATGCTCCCAAGGATTGATGTCATTGACCACTAAAAGGATCTCACTGTTTGAGCAACTTTAAATCAAATCAGTTCACTAGAGATTGAGGTTTGCTTTATTGGGGCATTTTTTTCCTCTTGGTCTATAGCTTGTTTGTTTTGATTTTTACTTTTGTGTTTTGTTTTTATTTTGACAGAGACAGAGAGAGTGGGCATAAAATTTGATGATGGGAGAATCTGGGGAAGAACTGGGAGAGGAGGAAACGTGATCAAAAACATTTTTTTTAAAGTTTGGGTATAGGAGTGTATTGCCTCTCCCATGAAGACTTAACCACCTCTGCAGTCCATTTCTCTCCCAGAAGCAAATTTTAATAAAGAAATGAATTTAGCAAAGGCAGCTAATAATTTGTTTGTTCATTTGTTTGTTTGTTTGAGAGGTTTTCTGCAAAGTTTGCATGATTTCAGCAGTGGGTACAGTAGCAGTGACTTCAAGTCTGAGAACTCAGTTCAGTGACAAGGAAGTTAGGGATGTGCAGCCTGAATGAAGCAAGCATTGATCAGGACTGTGTCCCAGGTCATTAAATTCAGAAAGAACATGCAGTTATATTATTTTATTGTATAGATTTATTTTCAGTTTTTCATCACTTAAATGAATTGTCTAAAACATGCTTCTTGGGATGCTGAAATTCATTGCATGGATAAACAAGAGTGCACAGTGGATGTGAGAAATACTAGGTTAAATACATTTGAACAGGCTTCTAAATAGCAAGATTTACTAAAAACAAAATACGAATCTCCGAAGATGGGGAGTATTATAAACCGTGTTCCAAAACATAGACAAGAAACCTCTTCAAAATTCATTTCAAGGTCTGTGTTCTACAGACCCACCCTGGAAAAAAAATGTTGCTCAAAAAAATCCCCTTCAGAATTGCTCCTAAAATATCCACCCAAATATCTAGAAAACTATCATCCTTTCCTAAGACTTCTTTCTCTGCTATAGTACGGACCACACCAAATGGTATTTGAAAAGTTTGATTTGCTAAGAGATAATTATTGGTGGTTGGTGATGGACAGCGGCAGGGATCTTCAGGCATGATACAATTTAAAATCTAGCTGAACTTAGGAGGATTGAGACTTCTTCTTCTTCTTCTTCTGATGGACAGCGGCAGGGATCTTCAGGCATGATACAATTTAAAATCTAGCTGAACTTAGGAGGATTGAGAAAAGAACCAGGTGTGATATCAAATTCCACCTTTTTCTTGATTAGGATAGTTGTTGTTGATCTGCAGCTGCTCACCTGTCTGCTCTCCTCACTTGCTTTTAATTTGGGGATTTTCTTTTGTTTTGCCTTAAAGTTCTCCATGCTGATTGTGATTATCTTTCCTTTTCCATTCTCCAGCTTTAGAACTAATTTTTAATCTCCATATTTCTGGGCATCGGTTTTTCAAACATCTCCATAAAATGGTCCCTCTTATTAGAATCTTTGGGAAGCACACCCAGAGACGCCCTCAGCATATGCATGAAGCCACAGGTGGTATTGACCCTTATGACTAATGCTTTTTCCTTCTTAAGTGCCCATCATATACTATAGCCCTAACTTTTAAAGTTTGAGATGCAACAGCAAAACTAACACAGTTCATTTTTTCTCCTTATAATTTTACAGATAGAAGATTTGTTCTTAAACACCTCAGCAGATGATTTTTTTCTTTGTTTAAGTTAAAAACTTTCACCTTTTTCCTTAAAGAAGCTCCTTGGAGCTTCTCTTTGGCTCATCTGTATTGCCAGAATCACTACTCTTGTGCTCTGGGGTCATTGGTTCATAAGATAAGGGCTCTTAAGCATAACACTGATCCAACCTGATGCTTAAGACCAATACAATGGCCTGACAGTGTATACAATGTAGATACATGGTTGTTGTGGAATATATGTTGAAGATGTGTTACATTTGTTTATGCTGTGGGACATTTGTTTAATGATGAAAAGATGTGTTGTATTCTTTTATGTTGTATTTGTTCAATTCTGTGAAGCTTTTTATTGTGCCTGTCTAAAACACCTGATTGGTCTAATAAAGAGTTAAACAGTCAATAGCTAGGCAGGAGAAAGGATAGGTGGGGCTGGCAGGCAAAGAGAATAAATAGGAGGGAAGAGAGATGGAAGAGAAAGAAAAAGGAGAAGGAGAAGAGGACATCAGGGGACAGCCACCCAGCTACACAGCAAGCCACAGAGTAAGAAGTAAAGAATGGTATATAGAAAGGTAAAAGCCCAGAGGCAAAAGATAGACTTATTATTCAAGTTATGAAAAGCTGGCTAGAAACAAGCCAAGCTAAGACTGGGCATTCATAAGGAAGAATAAGCCTTGGTGTGTTTATTTGGGAGCTGGGTGGTGGGCCACCAAAGAGTAAAGAGTAAGAAGAAAAGACAACTACACATGAAGCAAAGGAATCATTCACCTCCCCCACAGAATAGGACCCCTCGCTGTTCATCACGCTGCTGAGAACAGAATACAGTTCAAGATTTGTGAATTGTGTATTTCTGAATATTTCCATTTAACATTTCTGAAGATAGATGAGCATAGGTCACTGAAGTAGCAGAATATAAGACCAAAGATAAAGGATGGCTACAGTCTGAAAAAAGTACGGGCAAGAATGGGAAGCAGGGTGAAGAAGGTACTTAGCTGAAATGGGTGGTTTAAAATTTCTAATGCCTCCTCAGCACCACAGACTGACTACATCAGAATCAGGGTAGGAGCAGATTACCCTCCACAATATGGGCGGGGCCTCACTCAGTCAGTGACAGCAGGGGTGTGTGCTGGGGGCAGGAAGGTGTCCATACCTGTATGTACATGGAATCCAGAGGAGTCCAAAGGAGTTCCCGCTTTCTCGTCCTCAAGGCTGGCAGCCAGCAGACTGCTGCAATACCTTCTCCACTCCCCCCACAGCACTGGAGTTACAGGGAATATTGGGTCATGCTCAGATTTTAAAATAGGTGCTGGGGAGATTTGAACTCAGGCCCCTTGGACTTGTGCAGGAAATGTTTTTGCCCACTGAGCCATCTCCCCAGTGTCATCACAGATGGACAATGTCATGCCTGGCTGTTTACATCAATATTAGGGGATCCGAACCCAGGTTTGTGTGCCTGTGTGGCAAGCATTTTACCAACATCTCCCCAACCCTCGAGCTGGCAGTGTTATGAGAAAAGATGGGGGTTCCCAGAGAAAGAAGAAACTTTGCCTTTAAATTGCCTTAGGTCATCAGTTGCCACATAGGCCTCCCTGGCTCCCAGCTTGCTAGCCTGCCCTGAAGCTGTGAGAGTTTTCAGCTCCCAATCATGTGAGCCAATTCCTTAATATTAACCTCCCAGCAGAGATGTAGATATGCAAATAGACAGACAGACAGACAGACAGACACGTGCACACACACACACACACACACACACACACACACACACACTCACTCACATCTATTGCTTCTGTTTTCCTAATCTTGAATGACAGTTTTATATTCAGTCTTCCATACTTTTATCAGGATTATGGGTATTTTTTAACCTGATACCCCCAATGTCTTCATTATAATTTGAGAATAGAATAACTTGTTTTGTTTTGTTTTGCAGAGTAATACACTGAATTGAAGCAATAGAATCTTTATAATTGAACATGAAGAATAATACACTTTTCCTTGACCAAATTAGCCTTTAATTGCCCTTGCTCTTCCAGTTAAATGGATCATCTTGATCTTGAACATTTTTAATTAGGATATTTATATCAGAGAGCAAGTGTTAAAATTGTTTTAACTTGAAAGGCTCAGTTTGCAATGGATTGGAATAGATTCTGGTGGGTGTTTCTGAACAACCAATAAGGATTAATTGAGACTCAAATGTTGTTTATTTTTTTAATTATGTAATTGCTATTCATCCAGCCTTCATGATTTTCTATGTTAAATAACCATGCTTGTGTCTCACCCCAGCCTCTCTGTTTAGTTAACCAATTCATTAAGAATTGGGGATATTCTGCATTCATTAGCATTCTAATGGGCAGATTGATTCCCTGTAGCCCAAATATCTACATGTGTTTAACGTTTGAGCTCATCTTTATTCCCTTGTAAGTGATTATCGTTCTTAATTGCAGATGCTAGAAGTTGAAAACCATGCCCTGAAACATCCAGTCCAATCCACCTCATTAAAACTGCCCTTGAACGTGAGGTTTGATGTTGGTACAGGCACCACAAAGGCTGACACATGCTCAGGGCTAGAGATCAAGGCTACAGCCACCAGGGATTCCTGTACTCTGGGCAGTTTCAAATCGGGCATCTCTGCAGAAGTACCTGAGGTCTAATGGTTGTGCAAAGTTTTTCCTCTTCTTTTCCAAGAGGCTTCAAAATCAAAGCCAACCTCAGCATCCACTGAATTGAATTGTATCAACTATTTTAAATTCAAGGATCATATTATGTGAAGATTTTTTTTTAGAATGTGTGAACACACAGGACACAACAGAAGAGCTAGCTTTGCAAAGTAGGGAAAAGAAAGAGGACGTCAAATTCTTAAAGTGGCTTGCTTACCTGCAGCTTTCTTTGGATTACTGTACTGTCTTTAGATTGGAAAAACTCTTTACATTTTATTTTATTTAAATGTTCTTATAGGCCTATATTTTTCTGTTGAGTGCATTCCCTTCTCAACAACCTGTTTCAACCTTCTTGCCTTTTTCTGATTCTCTCCCAAGAAGAGGCTTCTTATCCTGCATAATGCATAATGACTTCTTGAAGAAAGCAGACAGGATGCTATGATGCCATGTTTTGTTTCTTTTTTTTTTTTAAATAGAGTGTCAGCAGAAGAGAAGAGAGAAGGAAAACAGAGAAACAAGAAATGGGGTGTTTATTCCTAGTTCCTACCACAGCACAGAGGAACACTGGTAAGGAAACTGCCTCTCCCTGGATTCTTAACTGATCCTCTCTAGCTCCCTCTACTGGGAAGGTAAGGGCTGCCCCGCTGGGCCTAGCCTAAGGCATTATGCCTTATTCATTTTTTTCTATCTGTATTTTCAAATTTTGTAAATAGCCTCACCTGTCTGTTATAAGAAGCCCAAGTCTGCTATTAAACTCTGCTTTGTTCCTGGTTTGTCATAAGCACATAGTTCTCTTAGCATGGGAGACCCTTTGTAAACTGGAAGGGGTTTAGCTCACCCATTTACTAAATCTTTGTATAAACCAGGGGAGGAGCAGGGAAAACCATGGCTTTCCAAAGATTGGAGAGCTGCAGAAATGACACAAACAGCAGCCAGCTGACATCATGTGTAAGTTCACTGAAACCAGTGCCATGAAACTCAAGTCCAGCCAACTCCCTGCATATGAGCCTGTTTGTTATTGCTGGAAGGGCTAGGAATTTCCCCTTGCTTATGTCAATAGCTCATAGGGTGCTCCTCTTTGACAGGACCTTGTTTGGAGCCCTGTTTTCAGGGGACAGAAGAACCACTGCTCTCCAGCCTTTCTCCTAGGGGTGCAGAAAGTACAGATGGAGAAAAGTGGTGCTGGGCTGGCGACGAAGAATCCACACAGTGAGCCCTCAATAAATAGTACATTTGCCCTGAAAAATTCCTCTAAAATTGTGATGTCTCCTTTTCTTCTTATTATAAGCAGGGTAAACAGTATCAGCTCTTACTCTACCCCAAGTGATAGAGTACAAATTAAGTGATGATACTTAAAAAAAAAAATATAAATGTTGCAGCTGCTCATTCCATTTCTTTTTCTTCTTTTGAGCTTTATTTTCCTTTTTGTTTTGTTTTTCAAATTTTGGTTTGTTTTAATACCATGGATTCTTTGGGGTCCCTGGTAAGACCTACTGATCTCTCTTCAGTAAATTTTTTGTGTGTGTGTGTGTGTGTGTGTGTGTGTGTGTGTGTGTGTGTTTGTATGTCTGTGTGTGTTGAAATTAAGGGTAATGGATTAAAAGAAAATCAATTGTATTTAAACACAATTATAAAAATATTTTCATTGTGATAATAGCATGCAGACATAAATAAGATCTGTGCACATAAAATCTAACAGCAGTTCCAATTATGGTTTTTATGTCTGAGTAGCAGACAGCACAAATGATTTCCAAGGTTTTTACAATAGTTTAAAGATGGCCTGGAAATGTGAAATTCCTTTGGTGACAAGGATGTAGACACTGGTCATAAAACTGTGACTTATTGCCTATTTCTATAATTAAATAAAATGCTAAATTAAACCAGGTAAGCATGTGTGATGGTTAATAGTAATTGTAGATTTAATAGGGTCTTGAATCACCAGGGAGACAAATTTCTGGAAAAAGACTGTGATGAATAAGATTATTGAGGTGGAAAAAACCCACTTTGAAGTATAAGTGGCACTGTTCCATGGGATGGAGTACCCAGCCTGAATTTAAAAAGAGAAAGCCAACAGAGCATAAGCATTCATCAGCCTCTGCTTTGGACTACAGATGCAAAGAACAGCTGTCTATAGCTTCAGCCATCGTGACTTCACTGCCATGGTGGACTGGAACCTGGAACTCTCAATTACACCTCTCTTTCCTTGAGTTTCTTTTGCCAGGTTATTTTTGTCACAAAGATAAGAAAAGTAACTAATAGCGCATGAAAACCAAGGTCTAATTTTTCTTTCTGCCTCTACTTACAAGACCAAAAGGAAAATCAATGCACCTAAAAAAAATTGTGGGAGTCCCATTGAGGGCTGGGCATTTGGTCCTTGCTTATGGAAAGGGGAGCAGAATGATATTTCCATTGACTTCATCCTCTCCAGTAGACCCATGACCCTAGTTGCCCTCCTAAGATGATGGAGGGGAAATCAGCCATTCTTCTTTGCCTCCTTCTGTGAGTTCTCTTACTCCCATAAGCAGTTTCCCACAGTGAAGAAGAATAATCCCAATAATCACTAACGAACCCTAAGTGGCCCAGCTACTGGTGAGAAAAACTGGAACTATAGCAGTATGTACAACACTTGACAGCAAATGAGGGCAAAGCATCTGTTCCTGAGACCAAGGGCCAAACAATCCAAAACAGAAATGGATCCGAAGATTCCAGAGCTTCTGAGACATATGGGGCTAACAGACAGTAGACCTGGGTGGAGGTGGGCTGGCACCCCAGCCATAGTCATACTGCCGAGTTGGCTCTGTTATTTGCTAATTATGTTTCCAGGCAGATGACTTCATGTCTCCAAGCCTCAGTTTACCCACCTGCAAAAGAGAGAAAGAGAGGTTCATGAAACAGGGGGTTCCGAAGAGGATTACATGAGATGAGCAAATGAAAGGGTTAGCACAACGATTGATAAAGTACTCCATTTCAGCTAGAAATAGCACCACTACGTAAAGCTCCCCTGAGCCCTCTTTCTGTTCACATTGTTTGTGTAAATAACCAGATGTAACACAGCACCTGCCCGATCGTGCTGCTAAATTAGATGTCTGACTATACTGAACAACTACAAGCTCACACTGTCTCTAGTGCTGTGCTGTAAAAAAAGAGCCAGCGGTTGTCCCATCCATGACAACAATGTCTAACAAAAGCAATGGTCCATTGCAAGACTTCTGCCCTTGGGCTGAACAAACTACATTTTTCCTCAGCGTCAGACCTGTAAAATCCTGTCATAGCTGTCTGCTTCACAAATAGAGCCCGGTCCTGTGCCAAACTCCAAAATAAGATGCTCAGTAGCTTTACCCAGCTGCTCACTTCAGTTAGCGCATGTCAATACAAGTGAGGTCTATTATGGTTCAGTGATTTTCCATCACTTGTCTGTCAGCACAGCTCTTTCCCTGTTCCCTCACCCTCCCTGGACTTCTTCAAGAATTTCTTACCACTTTGCTCAGCTTGTTTCCCTGGTGCCTTCTTTTGCATTTGAATGTTTTATGAAAAACCCAGCAACACATCTGAACATTGGCCAGAAGATGAAAGGCACACAAACTTAGAAATAGAACAATACATACGTCCCCTCAAAACAGAGCCTGGAGCCTGAAACCTCAGTCCCCGAGAAATTATTGTTTACCTTCCCCACATTAAGCTAATGTGTCACCAACCCATGAGCTTACAATCTTTAGATAAGACCCAATTTCAGAGCAAAATCCAGAATAAGACAAGTCATTTGAGAAATACCATCCAGGATCCACTGTGTGTCAGTTGTGTTACAGGGAGCAGCCTCTGTGGGCTGTACTTTCCTCACAGCTTTGAGCCCACTTCACAATGAGTGTCATTGTCAAGGAGCCAAGGGTCCACAGGATACAACCCCAAATCTGCCACGGTATAAATCCCAGAAGATTTAGAATTTACAGGGAGTTCTCATATGGTCTGGAGGCTGACAGATCCCCCACAAACAACCATGTACTTGTATAGCATAAGTAAATGGGTTTTGATTAGACATGATAATGTGATATTTTAATGGTCTTCACCTCTTTAAGGATGAGAGAACTGAATCTTGGAGATGTTCTGCTCTGTTCCAAGTCACGTGCTAAAACCAGCAGGGCCATCTCAATTCCATTTGTTTCTCGTTGTACAGAGGAGAAAGTGGCCATCCTGTCTGACCTAGATGGTTACAATATTCAACCAAACCACTCGAGGGTGTCAATCTACAGCACTTCATTTTTGCAGAATTATAAAGGGCTGGAACTCACTGTCACATAGCCACTCCCAAGCAGAGCCAGAGCTGACATGGTGAATTTATTCTTGGAATACCTCTAAGGAGGGCCTCCCTGCAGCCATCAGTCACCACCACAAGTCTTCCATGGGGTATGAAACCATTTGTTATTTCTATTCATTGTTTGGGGTTTTTTTTTTTTACTGTGTACTATTTATTGATGTATCTAAATGTTAATCAAACAAAATAATTCTTTAAAAAATGGACTGTTTCATCTGTCCACACCTGTAATTTCAGCATTCAGGATGCTGATGCTAGGGGATCTTGGGTTCAAGGACAGTCTGGGATACACAAGGAGACTGTTTCTTAAAAACCCAACAAAAATAGGGGAATGTATTTCAACCTCTGAATAAAGTTTTTCAATCACCACTTTAAAACTAGCAATGAGATTTAGAGACACAAGTAATTAGCCAAGAGCTCACCCTTCCCTCAGCCTTGTATGGGTGGCTTTCCTGGTTACAGAATCTCATTTAGAAACTAGACAGCTACCTTTCCTCTTTCTCTGTACAGAGTGACTATATGGAATACCTACTGTGTGCTATGTCATCTTCTAGGAGCTGAGGCACAATAGAGAACATGACAGGGTCTGGAGTCTCAGAGAGCCTATAGTTCACATCACATAAAAGTAAATATTCAAGATAACTTCAGTTCTTGAAATATGCTGTAAAATAAATAAAACATGGTGAATATGATAGGGTATGCTTTGCAGATGCCTCAGAAACAGAAAGAAATCATTACTTGTAGATATTGGAACAAACTCTTACAGAAGGTACAGCAGGCAGGGGCTTCTGAGCAAGCAGTGCATCTGTGAGGACTGGGCAGAAGGCATGGTGCTGAAGGACAGAGTGGAGGGACATGATGTTAGGCAATGCAAAGAAGTGAGCAGGGCCAGATCACTCATTGATAGAGAGCTGGCATTCCTAATTTTCCATTGGTGTCCATGCAAGTCTGGATTCAGGACCCACACAGATACCAAAACCCATGAATGCACAAAACTTTTGCAGGACATAGCATCATGTTTGCATGGAATCTGCATACATGATCTTTTCTACCCCAAGTCATCTCTAGATTATCTATAACATCTAAACCAGTATAAGAGCCATGGAAAGAGTTATGCTCTATTGATTAAAGACTAATAAAGGAAAGTGTCTTTATGTCCCCAGTGCAACTGTTTTCAAGGAATTTCAGTACACAGTTGACTGAACTCATGAATGCAGACTCTATGAGATACAGAAGTATAAATTGTATTTGAATTTATATTAAAGCTACCAGAGGACTTCGAGTAGAAGAGGGATCTAGAATGATTTAATATCTAGAAAATCAGCAAGAACGCATGATTGCTGTTCTCAGGAGCTGGTGATCCCTGTGACTAATGGCATCGCAAGGCAGAAACTGAAGAGTCAAGTGCAAGTGTTGAGTGGAGGTCGTCCATATTCCCCACATGCCTCAGCATCTAGCCAGTAATGGTGTTTGTAGTACAACATGCCCATGGTCTATCTCTGGATCTCAACAGTGAGAGTACAATTAGCTGGTGCCTTTGAACTCAAGAAGAAATATTTGTCAGTTTTCTTTTTGACATGCAATACCGCCTTTCAGAGAGCAAAAGCCATCTTTTCAGTCCCTTCAGAAAAGGCTTGTGCAAGTCCTGACATCCAGCCTTTCATCTATTTGATCTGTGGGCAAAGGACAATAATCCTCTGAGCATTTCACACTCAGTGCAAACTCTCTTTTGTGTTTGCTGAGGGGGGCTTTTGAAGAGGACTATTGAAAAACTTAACTCTGGTTAATGAAAAGTGAGGTTATTGTAGATGTATGACTTTCATGCAGAGGCCAGGCATTCCTGCAGAAGCAGAGTCCCTGCGATGGGGATTTCTGGGTTCTTACAGGTTATTAGCAGCCTTGAACAAACAGTTTCTCATTAGGAGTTGGCCTTGGCT